TTGAACCTGTCTGGAAGAAGACAGGCAAGATTCCCACCAAGGGAGATGGGAAAGTGAGGCCCTCTCGTAATCCAGGACTGCTGGCTCCTAACTGCTCACCCGACTGCCTGATCGCCCTAAGTGCACAGGCCTGAAAACACACAACTCATTTTGAGAATGACAAGAACATTATATAACAACTAGAGGCCCAGTGCACGAAAATTCGTGCATGGGGGGGGGAGGTCCCTCAGCCCAGCCTGCACCCTCTTGCAATTGGGGACCCCTTGGGGGATGTCCGACTGCTGGTTTAGGCCCAATTCTGCAGGGAACCCTGAGGGATCGGGCCTAAACCAGCAGTTGGACATCCCTCTCATAATCCAGGACTGCTGGCTCCTAACTGCTCACCTGACTGCCTGATCGCCCTTAACCACTCTGCCTACCTGCCTGATTGCCCCTAACCACGTGCCTGCCTGCCTGATCACCCCTAACTGCTCACCTGCCTGCCTGATTGCCCCTAACCGCCTCTGCTACAGCCCCCACCACTGCAGCTTTGTCTGGAATGACGTCCGGAAGGTCGTTTGGCTGTCCAGTCTAATTAGCATATTATGCTTTTATTATTATAGTTCAATTTCATGTCCAAAATTCAACTACAAACCCCCCCACACACACACACACACAGAATAAAAACCAAAATTCAAGGGAAAACAAAAGTCATTAATTCTGGGTGAAGTAGGACCTTCCTATGGGACCTCTTCATGGGAGACCTTGAGGCCCCACCTAGGAATCTGGGCTTCATTCTGCAATCTGCAGGAACCATGCAAGGCATTAAAACAGGAGAGCCACGGTCAGATTTGCATTTACAAAATGCTGGCAATAATGATGATGGAGTGAGAGTCTACAGGCTGTAAACCCAGTTGGGAGAGCTAATCCAGCAGAAACGTGGTAAGGGGCAGAACCAGAACACTGTCAACCTGAATGGAGAGGAGAGGAGGTGGTGTGGTCTGTGCATTGCACAGCCCTGGGAATGACAAATGCTAGCAGTCAGGCCCTCAGACCACTGGCCTTGGTCAATACTGAATGGAGATAAGGAATATTGATGGCAGTATATCTGCATGTGGCTTTGGGGAGAGCCCATTATTTTTGTGCTCATCTCCAAGGCTGCATTCAATGGTTGAAGCAGGTTTGTTCTTCATGGCCATCTTGCAAACATGTGCCATTGATCAGAAAGAGTTCCCACTACTGAGAAAAACAAACAGCTGGAAGTACATATACCATCTCAGATGAGTTCGCAGAAATACCTTTCTTCAAATTAACAAGTACAGTTAGTAGCAGAAATAATTATTAATAGCTTCTGCATTCCTGAGTATATATGTATTTGTTCAAGAATTACTTCACCCTCATCTGATGTCTTTCCACTTTGGATCATCAAAGCTATTTGTGGCTGAGCTCACTCAATAGTCACTGCATTTTCCAGCCTCTTTGCACTAAGATGTGGTCCTGTGCATGAGTTCTTCCTAATGGAATGTTAGGAGAAATGATGTCTGCAACTTCCAAGCCTGACCCATAAAAACCTCCAATAAGCAGTCACCCATGCTCCCTCTACATCTTTCAGTCTGATGCAGGTCAGGGTGGCAGCTTTCTTTCTTTTTAAATATATTTTTATTGATTCCAGAGAGGAAGGGAGAGGAAGAGATAGAAACATCAATGATGAGAGAGAATCACTGATCTGCTGCCTCCTGCACACCCCCTACTGGGGATCAAGCTCACAACCCGGGCATGTGCCCTGACCGAATCAAACTGTAACCTCCTAATTCAGGGGTGGGCAAACTACGGCCCGCGGGCCGGATCCGGCCCGTTTGAAATGAATAAAACTAAAAAAAAAAAAGACCGTACCCTTTTATGTAATGATGTTTACTTTGAATTTATATTAGTTCACATAAACACTCCATCCATGCTTTTGTTCTGGCCCTCCGGTCCAGTTTAAGAACCCATTGTGGCCCTCGAGTCAAAAAGTTTGCCCACCCCTGTCCTAATTCATAGGTCGACGCTCAACCACTGAGCCATGCCGGCCGGCAAGGGGTGGCAGCTTTCAAAGTGAGGGCTAAAGATAGAGTCACACCGAAAAAGCCCAGGTCCCAGAATTACCACTTGGAGAACTGCCTGCCAATCAGGGACATGCATTTCGGTTTATACATGGGCTAGTTTTAGAACCAATTTTACATTTGGGTGTTTGTTTATTACTTAACTGGTATGAACTCTTACAATTCTTATTCTACTCTCTATTGCTCATCTGCATACTTAAAAAATATAACTCTTTTAGACTGTAAGCACCCTATTTTTATTTGTACTTGCTCAAAAAGTGGTTTCTAATTAAGACTATCGAAGGACTTCAATTGTGGGCGAATTACTATCTTCATTAAAAGTATATAGAGGTGTCCAGCCACTCAGTCATAGGAGGACAGATTGAATGAAGAAACAACTCGGAATTCCTGTTCTTTGAGGTCTATGACACTTTGTCTAGAGCAGTAGTTCTCAACCTTCCTAATGCCGCGACCCTTGAATACAGTTCCTCATGTTGTGGTGACCCCCAACCATAACATTATTTTTGTTGCTACTTCATAACTGTAATTTTGCTACTGTTATGAATCATAATGTAAATATCTGATATGCAGGATGTATTTTCATTGTTACAAATTGAACATAATTAAAGCATAGTGATTAATCACAAAAACAATATGTAATTATATATGTGTTTTCCAATGGTCTTAGGTAACCCTTGTGAAAGGGTCGTTCGACCCCCGAAGGGGTCACGACCCACAGGTTGAGAACTGCTGCTCTAGAAAGACAGTAAAGCTCAAATGCCTTGAGGTATTAAAAAAGAAAGTTCAATCCCATATTAAGCTATTTATCTACAGCAAGACCTAAACAACAGTACATCACATCCTACTGAAGCAGGCCAGCTCTTCACAACCGTGTGGCCTTAGATAAGTCACATAACTTCTGCAGGGCCCCGATTTCTCTAGTAATGAATGAAGGGCTGAACCATACAAGTTCTCTAGTCTTTTCAAGTCCTAACATCTCTGGCATCTATTGATTAGCCAACCAACCCAGGTGGCTCATTAAAGTTATTGAGCAATATATTACTCTTTTAAAATAAGTCATTTTTTTAAACTTTCCAACCCTTAATGAAAGTAAAGCCTACTAAAACACTAAACTAGATTTTAGTTTTACATGACAAAAGTTAAGATGTTTGGATAGTATCATTTTAAAAAGTCTTTTCTCATGATAGGTTTTATTTTAAACTGCATTTCTTTGATCATTAGTAAGGGCACACACTTTCAGATGTTTATTAGCCATTTGTATTTCCCCTTTCATAGGTCATTTAGTTTTAAGGTTAGAACACTTGCAGTAGGACCACAGGAGGGGATGGTACTGCCTGCATCTTCAACCATTGGCAACTAAAGGGGCCGAAGGTATCTTGCCCAGAACTGTCACCAGCTCCACCGACGGAACTGTAGGGCTCCTGCCACTGCGTCAGCTCTGTGCCTCCCAGAGTATGCCTGCCTTTCATCATGTGTTACACTCAATGGAATAAAAATGGCTGCAAGCATAGCATGTGGGGTTCCACATTTAGTTCCTTTCTGCGACAGCCGCCTCTAATTTCCTCGGTTGAGAAGTCAAAGGGGTTACACCACCCAGGACCTGGAAATCCAGCGGGGCTGTTTGAGCCTCTCTCTACTTTTCCAAGGATAAAGGTTCTACCGAGGGGCCCTAAACGAGCAGCGCTGCTGATGAGTGAGGCAGACAGGTCCTCAAGCTCAACTGGCCAGGGTGGCACTGGTTTTGCCTGGTTAACTCCAGCGCAAAAATTCGTTTTCACCCAAGAAAACCTGTAACTAGATATGCGCTGAAGTCACACAGAGAGCAGGAGTGTTGAGACAGAAGGCGTTTTTTGGCTCGGCTGCTTGTCCAAGCCTAACCGTGCTCTGTGGCCACACACTGTCCTGACTTTACCCTTCTGTCTAGGTGACAGGGCATGTGCAGCGATTCAAAAGTTGGAAAAAAACAAATTCTCTCCTACCATCTGGGTTCTATCAGCAAAATAAAACAATACTGTTTGTTTCAAAAGCATTTAGAAATTTAGTTTAAAATTTTTTTAAAAACCAACAAGGACATTTTAATGAGGATC